AGAATAGTTAAAAGATCCCTGAAGACAAGAGACATGAGTCTTAGACCAGACTCTCATGCTAATTAGCTTTGTATCCCTGGACAAGTCACTGAGTTTCAGTTTCCTCAAATGAAAATAAGAAAGGGAAAAAAAATAAGAAAGGGGAACTAGGTTATCTTAATTGTCTCTTCCAACATTGGTGGTCTATAATTCAACAATGGGCACATCACATCCCTGGGAAGTATATCTCACAATAATTGCTATGTAGACAGTCATTTTAAGAAGTCTGCCTATCTTTATGTTATCCAGAACCCGAATATTATATATTCAAAATGTTGGTTATATCAGAAAATATCTTCTTTCTAGGTCCTAGAAGCTAGACATAGTATGACATAGAAAACAGAATCTCAGCTCGGGGATTTAGGTTTTAATCATGGATCTAAGTACACATTTAGAATCTAAAATGGAGAACTTCAGGGGACCCCTTTTTCCTCTAAAATAAAATATTAACTCCTTTGTTTGGCATTTGAAATCCTCTATTCTCTGGCTTTAGACCATCTTTTCAGGCTGATGACATATCATCTTCTTTCAAGAAAACTAGATTTCCCCCACACTGTCCTATTTACTTCCCCTCATGACATTCCATTTTATACCATTACTCCCCCCCCATGTAAAGACTGCTGAGGATAAAACAGAACGTTCTTCTTTTTCTTGGAATCCTTTATTCCCTAAAGGTTTTTGAGTATTTGGAGTATTCACTCCTCCAGGGCCTTTCCTGATTTCTCCCAAGTTGTTATTGTCCTACATTGCCCAAATGATTTTGTATTTATTTTGCATATGTTTTGTATTTATCTACGTTGTTTCCTCTCCTTCCCACCCACCCCCTCCCCAGTAAAATGTTATATCCTAGAGGGCGAAAGCTATTTTTTTAACTTTATATTCCCAGAGTAGTACTTGGCACTTAGTAGGAACTTAATACTTGTTGAATCAATTAAATAATTGGAAAAAGTCACCCTGAACTTCTATCAATATTTCCCTTTCTGTTAAAAGTAAAATTCCAAAATGTTCCTTTACCTATTCATAAAAAAATAATGAATATCACAATGATACAATGCAAGTTTAAAAAAAGGCTGAGTAGTCTTTGGAAGAAAAATTCTATATATTTTTGCAAGCTCCAGAATTATCTAAATGGGGATAGTGACATTTCAGAACTAACACAATCCAAATTTTACTTATCTTGTTGGAGATTCAGAGGGGGGAGATATTGGCCTGTAGAAGAACAATGATATCCAATAGGATAGGTCTTCCTAATGAGAATGTAAGTTTAAATGTAATATTTCTAAATGGTATTTGGGACTAACTTCATTCCCTTTGATTGTCTGCCTAAGTTTTGACTTTGGATATCTCTGTGAAACTCCTACTATTCCTTCAAATGGGAAACTCCTGAGTTCATGCAGTGGTAGATGAATTCTACTTCTTCTTCTCTGTCCACCCTAAATGTCTGTCTTCCCTCTGAATTCTTGTGGGAATGATCATATCACTTATTTGTCCATGAATTGTATACCATCTTCTGACTTTTTTTCTAATATTGCCAAATATTTTAAAATTTTCATTGTCATTTATAATGACAATTGTATAAAATATTATATAGTATATATTATAAAACTATATAAAACATAAATTATATAAATAGTATTTGTGGATCTATAATATAGCTCTATGGGTTATTCTAATCACAATCTGAGCATCAGGACTTTCTATTTTTTTTCATGTGTGTATATTTAGGCCAAATTTTTGAGAACTTGTGATTTTCAATGAGGAGATGCTGTAGTTTTCTGGAATCTTTAGTCAGCACGATATCATCTACAAACAGACACATCTGGAGGACATCATCATCTTAGGGATGCATTCTTTGACCTGGTTTCTGTGTTGGATCTCCTCCATCACTGTGGCAAAGGCCTTTGGTGAGAATAGAACTCCTTGTTGCATGCATAAGACTTAAATATGATATCATCGGTCAGAAGATCATTGAAAGAAAAAAGTTATCTTTGTTATTAACTTTCTACTTTGGAAGTCCCATGAGATTTACCCTGGATTCTATTCATGACATTCATATTGCTTCCATGTTTTGTTTTTCATTAGACATCTCTTGAGCAAGATTTCTCAGACACTTTCCAATAAAACCTTTCTGCATAGATATTTCAAAATTATCATAATAATAAAAATAAACTTACCAAAGGTTGAAATTATTGTGGGCCTGGTGCTAGTAAAATGTTAATTTTAAAATCCAAAGGGAGCCAATTAAAAAGAGAATGGAAAAGACTGAATCCTCTTTTTAGGGAATTCTTTAATGCTCACACACATTACGGCCCATGTGCTTATATGACCATGAATGAAAAACAAGACAGCCTTCGAATATCTTACAAATGACAAAATAATGCATGATAACCTAAAGATCATCGATCAATAGTTAGATGTAGATACAGCACAAAATCTCATACAATAGCAAAAAAGACTCTATATTTGTTGTTTTGTTTCTTTGTTTTTAATTTAGTCTTTACAACAACCCTAACAGGAATGTAGAACAAAGTCAGAGGAGCTCCCACTATCAAATGTGACTTAGTAGAGACAGGTTAGGAAGTCACATGAGGCATATAGAGGCTAAAAGAAGATTGGCAAACTAGAGAGTATCCAGAAGGGAGTAACAAGGATGGAAAAAAAGGGCCTTGATACCATGATACGTGATGATTGACTGAAAGAAATGAAAATTTATTCCAGAGAACAGAAGACACAGAGGGCCCATAACAGGTATCACCACACATTTGAAACTTGTTCTATTTGTCTCCAGAGGCCAGAACCAGGAGCAAAGGGATAAATTGATGGTTAATGTCATGAAAATCAAACTTCTTAATAATTGGAGTTGTCCAAAAATGGAAAAGGCTCCCTCTGGAGATAATAGATTCCATCTCTTCACATGTTTTCAAGCAGAGACTGCATAACCACTTGTCAGGTACATTATACTTAGTCTCCCTTTCAAGTATGAATTAGACGAGAGCATTTCTGAGATTCCTTAGGAATCTAAAATCCATTGACTTCATAATACTGGCAATGGTGGGATTTGAACCTGGGCTTTCTCAGTCCCAGCCTCACTCTATCCTTTTTTCCATTACACAAACGATGACATAAAGGATCAATACAGTTAAGTGACTTACCCATTTACAGCCAGTAAAAGGGAAGAAGCTGTTGTTCTAATTACAAGAGAAATAATTGACTCACTCACTACTCCATTATGCTGAATTTTTGCTACCAGAAATGAATAAATGGGAGAGGAGTCAAAAAAGGAAATGATAGTAAAAGAGATTTGGATCAGAAAAGAATATATAGTTTTCAGAATTCTAAGTAAACTGACTTTGAGTGTTCAGATAAATCAATGTTAGTCTCTGGAGTTATTGTACTTTGGAAAACTTTTAAACTGTAAAGGTTTCTCCTTTTGTAAAGGGTTAGTTGATTTTGTGTCAAAATAGAGATAGATATTCAACAACTCATCCTGTGGTGTCTTCAGTGTAGACTTTCCCTTTATTGACACAGATCATAGCCACCTGGATGTCTGGTAGATGGTTTTTAAGAACATTTTTAGAGTAGAGAAGAAGTGGAGGAAAGGAAAGGAAATGTCTCATCTTGAATCTTGTATCCATCACCACTCCATCAAGAGATGGGTAGCAATCTTCATCATACTAATTTCTCCTAAGCATGTGGATACGTGGTTTACCTTGAACATCTTTCTTCAGGATGAAATTAAAGATGGAAAAATATGTGGAGAAACATTGAACTGTATCAGTCATATTATAGTGTAATGCTGTATAATAGTGAAAATATAACATTCAGTCTACTGGCTCATTTAACAAAATGCAATACTGAGTATTATTCAACAGAATCCTCCTCTGATTCTTCCTTATATTTAGGGGACCTGACTTAAGGTTATTAAAGGCTGTGACAGCAGAGTATGAGTTCTGGTAGGTACTATACTGGTGGAAAACCTTTGAGTGGAGTCCACGGGGTGGCCAAGACCAGCTAAGTTCAGAAATCCTGTCAAATGAATTTTGTTGTTGTGTTTTGTTTGTGGAAATTCACAAAGACCGTTTTCTTCACAGTGGACTTACAAAGTGTCTCCATAGAGTCAGTGCCCATATAGATGAAATCTCAAATCCTCAACATACTCGAAGCATACTGAGCAGAACAGTTAGTATTAAATGGCATTAAATGCAATGTAATTCCATCTTATATCTCTACACCTTTGCAGTAACTCTGCCCTATGCCCATAATTCACTCATTCCTCAACTCAGCCATTTACAAATCCTCATATTTCAAGACTCATCTAAAGCACTGCTTTTTACATGGTCTTTCTTTATCACCTGCAATTGGCTAATGGCCTTCCTTCAAAAACGGTCAGATATTTACTTTGTATATAACTATATACATACATACATATATATAGAGAGAGAGAGAAAGTTATGTAAACTATGTATATAACTATATATGTAAAACTATACACGCATATATGTATGTATGTTTGTATGTATGTGTATATATATTTATATATATATATATATGTGTGTGTATACACACACACACATTATCTCCCCGATAACATGTAAGCTTCTTAAGGAGAAGAAGTGTTTCATTTTTATCTTTGTATACCCAGGATCTAGCACCATCCTTGGTATAAAGTAGATACACACATGTCAATTTTTAACTTTAATTTTATATTTAATTTTATTTGAACTCACTCTTATGCAATACCAAAGGGAATCAATGACATCAGTGGGGAAAAAATCATGGGCACATTGAAATATTTGAGTATATTCTATTTAGATGCTTTTAGCATCTTTTACAAAGTCAACTGAATTGTAACTTGTTTTTGCAGATGGTGTTTACAGGGATCTTTCTTTTGATCTTCTGACAACCCTATTTGAAGGTGTGCCCAGTTACTTCTTTCACCCATGATTTCATCTTTTTTCCAGCTGTGAAAAAGAGTGGAAAGGAAATCGATGCCACATCCAGCTTAACCCTCCCTCACCACCAGATGTCATGTTCACCCAGAATAGTAGGTGCTTTTGAATCCACATAAATTACTTAGTCATTGCTTTTTTTTTTAGCAACTTTTTTTTATTGTTGATATTTGATTGGTTTGGACTTGCAGATATTTTGACCATCTTGAGCATTGGATTGGCTTTCCTGACAACTCACCTAGCAGTTGCTGCCTTCAGTTTCCTTTATAACAGAAAATGGCCTAGAGAGTAAGTGGTATTTTTTATCATGTGTTCAACAGAATATTCCATTGTGGCCCAAAGCATTGGATAATTGCCCAGCTTCTTTGGTTTCAACTGATAAGCTTCCCTTGGCATATTCTTCTCAAATACCAAGACATAAAATAAAACCTGGAATTGAAAAGTCAGCTAACCTTAATGGACCCCAAACTGGGAACTATGAAACCTGAAAAAGTTATTACAGAACTCTTTGCTCCCTTAATAGTAGGGCATTAAACTTGTCAATGCTTGTAGATATTCAACATATTTTCCTAGGTGGCAGGGATAGGACTAGTGAGACAACCTGAAAGAAGGTTTGGATGTTCATGAATTCTCTAGGACAAGACTTGACAACCTTTGGCCCTTGAACCACTGAGAATTGTTTGGTGCTACTAGATTATTGGCATCTATCTTTCCTTCCACATATTTTTCTCTTCTTTCTTCTCATTCCTCCTCCTTGTTCTCCTCCTCTTCATCTTCCTTCTCTTTCTTTTTCTTCTTCCTTTTATCTTTTCTTTTTTCTTTCCCTTTTTTTCCCTATGTTTTAGGCTGATCAATTCTACTTAAGGCATTGATATTATTTATTCCCACTAGTAACCATTAGAGATAAAGTAATAGTTGACCAATATCCCTCAGAGAAATTATTTGTGAAAACATATAACCATTGAATAAACTGAAATTCAAAGATGGAAGAGATTTTAGATTTATAGACAGAGAAATTGAGGTCCACTGAGTTAATTTGCCAAAGGAAGTATCTAGTAGCAAGGGATTCACTGATTCCCAATGAATTCTTCATTGAGCAATGATACATTCAAGGGGAAAATAGCATTTATAGCAACCATTTGTTTCAGAAAGATTAAATAAAATTATGAACAATGTTTTGCAGAGAATAAAAAATTTTAAAAGTGAATACTGAGAATTTAGTTTAGGAAATAAGTTTTTTTTTAATTTTCCCAGAGTGTAGTCTGAATACTACATAACCAGCTCCCAAAGATTACACTTCAGAAATTGCAGGGCTATGGCAGGAAAGGAGAATGTGTAACAAAAGAGGTCCTTCAGTGGCTTCTAAAGTCAATATTTATGTTCTAAAACTATCAGTATTTAAAGTATAATATCTGTGCAAACCTTTATAATCCATTATTGTCCATAGACAGTGCTGGCCCCTGGGGAGGAGGTGCTCATAATTTTTGTGTTTTGTGTGGATAGGGCTTCTTAACCTCTCTCATACTTTCTCTGAAACCAGGAGTTAATTGACAATTTATAGTTGGTCCTTCCAAAAAATGCTTCTAAATTCAAGAGATTTTTGTCCTGAGATTTTGTCCTAAGATACTGCCAAGGGCAAATTGGCCCTAGAAGCCTGCTTCCTTAACAAAAATGAAGTAGAATCATCTGGATAAGCTTATGAGGCATTTTCTTATCAGAGCAAAACTGTACCTAGAGCTAAAGACTGAAGGACAAGAAGGAGAGGGGAGAACCTCATCCTCACCTTTCTCTTACCAGCAGACAATTATACCTTCTCCCTCTGCTGCTGTAGATTCTATGCTATCCTCCAAAGGGAAAAATAATCATATGACATTTCAGTCACTCTCCTGAGTGACATTAACCCATTGCAGACAATGGCAAGAATGCTTGACTCTGAGTCAAGGGAGAATCGAGTTGGGCTCCTCCCTCTAACACTTATTAGGTGTGGGACTTGAACAAGTCTGAAAACTTCAATTTCTTCATCTATAAAATGGTCATAAGAATGACCAGGATTCACGGGATTATGTAGGGACCATTGTTTTGCTTTCTTGCTTAGAGATTCTTTCATTCTTTGCATTTCTATCCCTGGCCCCTTGCTCAGATCCTGGCATATAGTAGTCATTTTGTTATTGGTTGATTAATTTGGGTCAATCAGTACATGGAGAGTACTTTGCAAAACTGAAATAATATTTGTATCAGCTATAACATAGGACTGTTCCAATTTGTTAATAAAATCAGCAAGGTAAAAGGTTTTTCTTGTAAGATGTTTAACAATAGCTAATGTTTAAAAATGCTTTAGTTTACAAATCATTTACATATATTATTTGATCCTCACAACATCCTTGGAAAGAAGATATCACTATTATCCCCATTTTACAAATGAGGAAACTGAGGCAGAAAGTGATTAAGTGATTTGCCCAGAGTCACAGATCTAAGAAGTGTCTAAGTCAGAATTTGAACTTGGTTCTTTTTTTACTCCGAATTCAATACTCTAGTCACTGCGCCAGCTAGCTGGCCTGCAAATAAGTAAAGAAGGAAGGAGGGAAGGAACAAATGAATTAATGAATAAGAATAAAAATGAATGAACAAATAAGTTAGAGGCTTCTTGAAAAGGTTGGGATTAAAATGTCTTGCAAATAGCTCAATAGAATTTGAAGGATACAGTGTGGTGTAATGTAGAAAGCTCTGAATTGGAAAATAGGGGAACTCAGTTGTGATCTGGGTTCTGTCACTAAAAACAGTGATGTGACTTTGGTCATGGCACCTTCTTGAGGGGTTAGACTAAATGATTGTTAAGATGTCTTCCAGGTCTCGGGTTAGAGTATTGAATCATATGCCTTCAGTGTTTAAATGACTCATGGCTTGTAAATTACATATCTTGGGAAGGTCAATTAACTGTTTCAGGGAATTATAGTAACCTTAAATACAATGAATTAATAAATGGACGGATGGACAAGCATTTGTTCGGTGCTTACTATGTTCCAAGCACTGTGCAAAGTACAGATGGAAATAGTATCCTGCTTGCAAAATAATAAATAAACTAAAAGGGTGAATTTTTGTCCTGAAGGCACTTAACATATGGAGAAATATTCAAGTTCAGGGAGAATTTAGCTCAATATTAATATCAAACTGACTGGATATGAAAGGCAATGAAAGGTAGTCTTTCTGTAAACACAGAGAAGGTAGAGGCTATACCAGCTATCTTTCTAGCATGTTATGTGGCTTATTCTGAGGATACAATTAAATATCTAATTAGGTCATTGATGTATCATATGAAGATATTCAGTTCTGTAGTCCTACATTCAAGTCTTAGAACTATGTTATAGACCATATGGGCTAAATATGCTCAAACTATATGTCTGAGGTTTCTTACATAGTTCAAGAAAGAATCAGACCACTTCCAGATTTTGAAACCCTTCCATATGCTAAAGGGAGTGGGGGAAAGAACTGGAAAAGCAAATAGAATACAAAAAAGGGCATAATTTGATTTTTATAAGTTAATATATGTTATTCTAGTCTTTTATTTTATGCACATTCACTAAGTATTAGGGGAGGGGTAAGGATCTAGTTTTCCTGAAATAGCAAAATTAATATGAAGGTTACTAAAACAATTTAAATATTCTTGACCAATTTCCTTCTTAAATTTGAGGGCCCATTTAAGCTAGCCATTTGTGCCAAATGACCCTCTTCTCCTCTCCCTCCATCCCTTCTGACTGATCTCATATAGAATGAATGACACAGAAAATGTCCTTTCCACATGAACAGATTTTAATAGTGGTTTTTGGAGTCAATGCTAATCCAAGGGTAGTTGGCAAAGTCACCAGGGGATATCATGTTGACTTCCTACTTCACCTTAATAATGAATTAGGAAACAATGAAACAAGTTTAGATTGTCCATAGGATAATATTGATTTTTTTTAATCTGAGCAAACATTCTACATTTCAAAATAATATATTACCCTAGGCATGAAGTCTCCCAGACCTCAAGACTTCCATTAAAAAACTCGCTCAGCTGTTTCCTAAAGCAGGAAGGGTAGTTACTTGGTATACCTGCCAAAAGACTTGGCTCTCTTCCGGTTCTTGCAGGCATCTGGAAGAAATCCAAAGCTGCTCACCATCCTAGGGGATGGGGGAGCGGGGTGGAGGGACATAAAACACTTGCCTAATTGCCAATTTTTCTTTAATGAAGAGATCCCCCTCCCAATAATAACACCTTTTGTACTTAGAGAGGACATTTTTCAAAACCTACTATTATCTACTTTGAGAAAATCTGATGTGACAAACAAATTTTAGGAGAATATGTACATTTTAGCTGTATTTTGTGCTACATACATGTGCATATCTTATATATAATGACACACATACAGATGTATAATTATGTGTATGTAAATATATACATAAATATATGTATGATACATATGCAACATACCGATAGAACATATATATATACACATTTGTATATATACACACTCTTTCTCTTTCTACACATATATATATATATATATATATATATATACACACACACATACTACATATATTCAGTGACATGAAATGGAAATTATTTGGGACAAAGGAAACAATTAGATTTATTGCCTTATATAATAATCCTTACAACTTTTTACTTCTTAAAAAATGTTACATATCCTCCTTTTGCTACACTCACTTATTTTACATTATTTGATATTGAGTATGCAAGATTATGACAGATATTTTTTACTATGCTTTTATTGCATTGGATATGAAATTCCATTGGTTAATAGTCCAGTTTTCCAAGTCTAACCTAGATTATAACCCAAAGGTTTTCAATGGATTTTAAATCGGTGAATTCCCAGGCCCCTGGAGCACTTTAATCTCTACTTGTTGTATAAATTTCTTAATCATTAATGATGTGGGTCATATCACAAGGTTATCATGCAGCATTCTTGCTCCTTTTTAAAATTTCTATAATTTCAGAATAATTGTGCTTATCAGTATGTCAGCATATTTATCAGAACTCATCATTTGCTCAGTGGAAAACAAGATTTCCAGGCCCTAGGCTGTACGGTGGATAGAGCACTGGGCCTGAAGTCAGTAAGGCCAGAGTTCAAATCCCACTTCAGGGATTCTTCCCAGCTCTGTGATCCTGGTCAAGTCAGTTAACCTCTGTCTTCCTCAATTTCCTCATCTATAAAGTAGGGATAATGGTAACACCTACCTCCCAGGGTTGTTGGGATGATTAAATCAGGTAATATTTATAAAAGGACCTAGTA